TGTGTGTGTGTGTGTGTGTGTGTGTGTGTGTGTGTGTGTGTGTGTGTGTGTGTGTGTGTGTGTGTGTGTGTGTGTGTGTGTGTGTGTGTGTGTGTGTCTCTTTAGGAGGATCCCTTCGTGATGGTGGCAGAAAACATCCTGGGTCAGCCCAAGACATACAAAGGATTCTCCATCGATGTCCTCGACGCACTCGCCAAAATCCTCGGCTTCAAATACGAGATCTACCAGGTGGGAAGGAAGGGTTGGATCACACAGGCTAACAGAAGTCACTGCAGATTATATCACACTGTCTTTGTCAAAGCTTTTGATTGGACGGTGAATTATGAGTGTCACTTTGAAAACACCTGTTTTGTACAGAGGTCATGAGGCACGTTGAAGATCAATAATCAATCTTCTTTGGGATGTCAGGATTTCGGTTGAACCAAAGTCCTGACTTGGTGAGATGAACTGAATAAACTTTATTGATCTGTCCTGCAGGTGTCTGACAGTAAATATGGATCTCAGCTTCCGAACGGCTCGTGGAACGGTATGATTGGAGATCTCATTAACAAGGTAACAACCAAAAGTAATTAAGTACTAAACAGGGAGTAAGTAAAAACTAGATCTCATAATTTATGCCAAAAAGTCTTTAAAGTCTCAAGACACTGAACCCTGAGTGGCTCCCGATGGTGTGTGTGCAAGTGGTGCTGCTCTGCATGAATGAGGTGTGAATGGGTGAATGACCCCGTAGTGTGTAAAGAGCTTTGAGGGGTCAGAAAGACCTGATTTCTCAGTTTGATATTGTAGAACTGTTTTTAGGACCCCTGAAGTGTTGAATGCCACTGATGGCTAAGACACAGGAAACTGAAAGTCCTGTTTTATATTGTCCCTGCTTCTTGCCTCTGATTGGCTCTCCTCTTCCTCCTCCCCCTCTTCCTCCTCCTTTAGAGGGCGGATCTTGCGGTGTCGGCCATCACCATCACCCCTGAGCGTGAGAACGTGGTGGACTTCAGTAAACGTTACCTGGACTACAGCGTGGGGATTCTGCTGAGGAAACCGGAGGAGAAGATCAACATCTTTTCTCTCTTCGCGCCCTTCGACCTCGCCGTGTGGGCCTGTATCGCCGCCGCCATCCCAGTGGTGGGCGTGCTCATCTTCCTGCTGAACCGCCTGCAGGCGCTACGCTCCTCCGCTACCCAGAATGCACCACAAGGACAACCGGCCAATGGCGTGGTGGGTTCAGGCTCGCTGCAGAGCGCCGTGTGGATCGTCTACGGAGCGTTCGTTCATCAAGGTGAGGGGGGGGGGATAATACACATGAAACAAGACAGTGATAGATACAGAGTAATATAAGTTACGTACTCTTTTTTCTTTGCATTGTATGAACGTGTTAGAGGGGCCCAAATAGGATTTCTTTGGTTTTTCCCTTTCCTGTGTTTTATAGGTTCAGATCTCTAAGAACCTATAAGCCTCTGCAGCAAGATACACATTTCCTTTCCACTTCAAAATAAACTCCTTTCCTTCTGCACGTATATTGTAATTTCCCGCTTTACTTTCGAATGCAAAATCAAGTATGCATGGTTATTGCATACTTGATTATTAGTGATTTCATGAATTCAACACTTCATTAATCTTGGCTACATTGAATTTGAGCCTAAATATCATCACTTATCCGAGACAGTTGTTTAAAAAATCGATATGTTTCTCCCTAAGAGTCAGGTCTACTGGCAACTAAGCTTACACACGTTGTTAAATAAGAGAAAATATAGAACTATAGTGAAAACTACTATAAAATAAAAAGCAAATGCTAAAATAAATATAAATGTGCAAAAAAAACGAAATTAATTAATAATTAAACGTAAGAGAAATGTCCAGTATATTGGAATTTTAAATCTGAGAAGCTGTGCAGTTTTAAAGTCCCTGCAAAGAACAACCTTGGTAAACGTGAAGCTGCAGATATAATCAGGCTATAATTCAATGAGAGCGGATTGGTCTGCAGCTTCTAAAGGATATTAGTGTTGTTGTTTAAGTGGAGTTTTTCTGTTCATGAGAAGTCTAGAGTTTCCAGATTCTCAGTTTGTAATGCGTGTAATTCTGCTGTAATACAAACTTCCTCTGAAAGTCAAACGTCTGAAATGTTCTCAGAGTTAAACTCGGCTCTCTGTCTGAAATCAATCAGCTCTGATCGCAGCGAAAGGGAAGATTATCTGCCGTGTAAAGAGGGATTTCTGTTTGACTCTGAGCTGTTTCACGGATTACACAACAACACGAGAGGCAAACAAAAACCACAGGAGGATTAACAGGAGCGTCTGAAATATTTAGTAAGAAGCACATCAAACTTTAAAGTGCTTAAGTGAATTAGGAGGAGGATTAGATCATGCAGGAAATGTCACTGTGAGGAACAAATGTAGGTCTCTGTGTGGCAATGTTTTTAGATAGAGATGAAGACAAACAGAAAAACTGCAGTTACATTTCAGGGTTTAATATAAAAGTGAAGAACACTCATCTTTAAATAATAACAGAAATTCACATACACTTTCTTAAATGTTCTTTATGTTTCATAACTTTTTACTCAAACCGTAAACAAAAATAGCTTGAAAACACAAAAGTACCTTGAACTCAACTTCCAAAGCTTATTTGGAGGTCTTCTTTTGATATTCTCCACATGTTTTCTCACCTTCCAAAAGGTCCTTGCTTTTCAAAAATATATTTAATTCCCAAAATGTCCCTGTTGTTTTTAATAACCTCTGTTTTTTGTTCACTCCAATTTGCAAAGTTTTCCTAACTTGTAAAAAACCGCCCTTCAAAATATCCCCCTACAGGGCGAAAGTATATGGCGGGAGAAACCTTGTTTGTGATCTTAAAAAACAAAACAAAACAAATGGCAAAGAAAAGCTGATACTTAAACTAACGAACTGAACTTAAATATTATTTAGAGACATCCCCAAACTAAAAAAACTAAAAAAAAGAATGTCCACAAGACTGTCCTCAAAATATCCTCTTTTTCACGGGTTCTCACAATGATATGAATACAAGAACACACACACACACAACACACACACACAGACATATGTGTTTCCATGTCCACATGCAAAAGTAGATCCATGTAAACACACTCCAGAATGAACACACACA